GAGACGAAGGGTGGTATACTAATCCACCAAAATTGAATAGATCTCTGCTGTGATTCTTCGTAGTGAACTATCGAATTTGTCAGAGCACACACTCTTCACGAAGTTGAGCGTTGAGACGGCGAGACATCAGCAAGATGGTTTCAGTCTCTTCGGGTACATACCCCTGAGTTGGGTGAGCGGTGGTCAAAAGCTGAAATCACGGCTGGCGACATGTACCGGTTCCACATAGTGACCGCTGCGACGCAGGTGAACTCGCCACCGTACGGTCGATCAGAATGCACTCGAGAATCAGCATCCCTAAGCCTCAATTGACTTAGATATATCTCTCCCATCCATAGAAGCCCGGGGCCCTCCGAGCCCAGGCTTCGCGCGGATCTCGAGCTGCTGCCAGTGCTCTTGGCCAGCACTTCGGTGTATACGGCTCGTGTACATGCTCGCTTGTATTAGCAGTAGTGCACTGGGCGTTCTGGGATCTCTCTAGTCACCCGCACCGGGACTGCATGCTGCAAGGCCTGGCGGCTGCAACAGGTCCTACGCGTTCGGCGGCCGCGTCCGATCAGACCATCAAAGATGCGAGCCTCGTGCTCGCAGTGGGCGCTGCACCCAGTGCGCGCCATCATCTGCTACATTGTCCAGCACACTGTCCATCTTATTCTATTCTCATCATACAGGATAGCCACACTCGCGTGAGCGCAGGCGAAGATCGTACCTGGTCACCGCTCTGGCTTCGGTAGGGGCCGGGTACTCTGCTGGTATTAGGCAAGCAGCCCGGCCGAGCATTATCTCGTGCGGGTGACTAGAGAGATCCCAGAACGCTACAGCTCACTTGAGCCCTCGAAAGTACAGTAAAAAAGCAAAACGTACTATCCTTGACGGGATATCAGTTCTTGTAGCACCCTGGCCGAAGGGCTGACCTTGTAAAACGTCATGACGTCACCGGTATTGACACTCCCGTCCGCATTCCGGCCGACGGTGATCTCGATGCCACTGTACGCTTGACGAGTCGCCAGAGAGAGGACACATGAGTAGTTTGCACCACCAACACTCATGGAAGCCTGCATAATCTCCTCGTCCAGCGCCTGACTCAGGGAAGTCCAAAAGGAAGTCTCTGAGCTATGACTATATCAGCGCGCGATCAAAGCCGGTACGAACGAGATTCACCAGGGCGGTATCATCAGTATATTGGCTTCGATAGGGACTGTGGTTGTCTCTGTGGTTAGTAGAACCCCTGGCTATTGCCGGGCAAGCGTGGTTGACTAACCCGCGGGTTCCAACTAACCACCTGGAGCATTTAAATAATGC